AAAGGAAAAGATCATTGTTTATTGAAATTGATCATTTCAATAGAACTTCCTTTTTAAAATACCGTATTTTCCGGCGTATAAGACGACCCCCTAATTTTTACAGTTAAAACATAGGTTTAGGCCTATATTCGCTGTATAAGACTACCCCCCACTTCAAAGAAAAGACTTACTTTGCTGTCCAGATCTGCAAGTAATTTTTGTGCAATTTTGGTCTTTTGCCCCCGATTTTCGGTTGACTTTTTTTTGTTTCAAAAGTCGTCTTATACGTCAGAAAATATGGTATAGATGGTCGTGATACATAAAGCACTCAACTTTACATACAAAATAGAGACACAGTGCACATAACCTGAAAACACAAGAATTTTTATTAATTCTATTTTGTGTCCCATTTAAAAAAAGAAAAGAAAAATGGTGCGGTGATTTATAATTATACTAGTAGTCCTGTGCGTGAATCAGTGCACCAGTAGCTCTATACCTGTTGCCCTGCCCTCCTGTAGCTCCCCCTTCAGCCTTCCTCATAGCATGCTGCCCCCTCCTGTAGCTCTTCGCCACCCACTTGTAGCTAACTGCTCCACCCTCTTGCTGACCCACGATCCAAGGTCATTTGTTACGTTTCATGGTATAACAACCATTTGCACATTACATCTTTATTATATGGGATATGCTGAATTGAGTATAACCTTGACAGGAGAGAATTTTTGTTTTGACTAAGTCACTGAGGATTGAATCCTGCTTTTGAAATTTTACATAACCAGCTTTTGACTTTTCTACTACCCACCTATTTCTGGAGCTGGCCACTATAGGAGATGTTTATATCGCAATGTGTCTTTTGGTCCTGCACCTTCATTACACCATGCTTGGTGAGTTGGTACCAAGGGTGAAATAATTCCTGAAAGACACTTCTATACCAGGGAGCTTGCAATAATGTACTTCTACAGGGAAGTGTCTGCAAACCATATATATATATATATATATATATATATATATATATATATATATATATATATCATTGCGCCCAAACTATATGAACCCCTAATTTAATTTCCTGTTAGTTAGACCTCCAGAAAGCATGCAATTTGTCCAAAGTCAGGCAATATAAAAGGAAGTTGAAGAAGGGTCTACCGTAGTTGTTTTGGCTCTCATATCAATGTTTTCCGTTTTTCTCTGTGTGTGTGTGTGTGTGTGTGTGTTTCTTTTCCCCCTTCTCTCTTTATCTCCTTCTCCCCTCCTTCTCTTTCATTCTGTCTAAAAAAAAAATTAATGGAAAAAATATCCTCAGGTGAGGATTAACAACAACAAAAATTAAAAGTATGATGCTGGCAATGCATTATTATAGCCCCTCCCAGGGCCAAAAAAGGGCCTGAGCAAGGGAGGACCTGAAACTTCAACTTCGTTCTCTGGACAGCAAAATTCCTGTGAATCAAAGAGAAATACAGATTGAAGATTGTCTTTCCTCTGACATTTTTAACATTACCACATGTTGTGTGTGTGTGTGTGTGTGTGTGTGTGTGTGTGTGTGTGTATGTGTTACTAGAAAAATTACTGTACTCAGCATATCTAAATTGTCCCTTTCCAGGCAGGGTTATTGAGAACAGATGTTTCCATTACAGTATGTTTGGCTGACAAGGCTCCTTATTGCAGTCATTCCTAGAAAATTGCTCACTGCCTTCCCTGTTCCATAACCTATTGATGGGTCAAGTGATCTATCTACCTTAGTTACAGAGTTGCAGATTGGAGTTTGTTGTTTCATTTAGCTCATGTAAGCAAAGAGTGTGGTGGAGAAAGAGGAGCCCTCAAAAGATAGGAAAGACCACAGCATTAGGCATCAGAGAATCTGCATTCTGATCCCTGCTCAGCTTATAATTCGCTAAGTGACTTGAAAGGGAGCTACCTTCCCTTCTGGGCATTGAGCAGCTCAGCAAGTCAGTAAATGTGTCGGCAATATCAGTGGTTTCTAGGAATCCAGGGGTTCTGCAGAGGTGCCTCAAGAGTGGGTTATCCCTCATCTTTGCTCTCTTGCTGTTTTATGTGTTAGATTAGAGTTTGTTGCAAGATTTTTGCCTCAAAATGGTTGGACTATGGGGAATAAAAGAAGACCATTTTTTATTATTATTTTTTTATTTTAGAAAAGTCCCAAACACTTGAAATGACCTGGGAAACTTTTTAACAGTGCTAATTCCATCACAGAGCTCAGATTTTGAATTTGTTCGAAGTTTCTTTTGAATCCTGCTGCATTGAGAGACATATTCTACACCAGTGGTAAGCAACCTTGTCTACACTTTAGGATCATTTGGGAACTTTTAAAAATGCTGACCATTGTGACTGTTATTTAATTGACTTGAGCATAGACATTTTGGTTAGCTCCTCAGTGGTCTCTGATGGGCATCAGGATTGAGAACCCCTAGTCACTGAATTCTGACAAGTTTTAACAACCTGTGTATGAAAGAAAAAAAAAAGTAAAAGTGTGCTGTTCCTCTCCCCAGTCTCTTATAGATATTCATTGAACATGGCATTTCTGTTTTATAGCTAAGCTATGTCATTCTCTCATTGGTTGGGGCAAGTGTCAGAGGAAAGACAGCTGGTGTGGGGGATACGTCTAGATTCTGGACACTCATGTGTGAAGAATTTCTTGCTATTCACCATACCCACAAGAATCAGGGACTGTTATTCTTGTGAGAGATACTCTATAGTCATGCACAAGTGGGTCAGCTTCTCTACTTTTAAACCAGGTTATTCATAAATTTAGTTGATTGGAATCACAGAACATTTCAGATATGATTCCAAGAATCTGTGATCATATCCTTAATTTACGGAATATAATTTCATAGAAAATCAAGACTTAATTTCCTTCAGACTCATATGGCATTTTTCCCCTCTTATTGAACTTCGTAAAAGGGCCAGTAAGTGATGATTTTGTGTTCCTATGTTGTTCTAATACAGCCTTGACCTAAAGAATTGTAGGAGCTGAGTTACTAAATAGAGATTTTCATGCAGCATGAACCTCACAGCTGAGTTGGGAAACCAGTGCTTTGGGAGCCTCCAGAGGAAGTTTGCAAAGATACAAATAAGAACTTCCCTGGTGTTTGGCTTCAACTTTTGTGCATCCCCAAATAGCAGCGGATGTCACAGTGGATGGGAAATCATTGATTCATTCATCATTTATACATTTATTTTTTCACTTATTCATTCCAGGCATATATATTTAAACATAACCTCATACTAGGGCTTGGTTTCAGTGTTAGGGTCATGTTCAGAAATGAGACAGAAGTCAGAGAACTCTAAGTAAAAATTTGCTTGTTTTTTCAAGTGGAATGCCTCAAGGCCTTGAGTTCTAGGGGGTAAAAAGGGGTGGTTTTACACATCCATTTTAATGATTATCTGAAAACCATAAAGTAATCATATTCTGCACTATCTGGAAAATGACCTATCTGGATGTGATTTTGGGGACCACACTTTGTTACCATGGTCACTCTGGTACCACATGTCTCTAATTTAATTGCGGCGGTTGAGTAAGATGAAAATAATCATGGGGGTCTTATTCTTAGGGAATGAAGTGTGCCTACCTGAGGACCAAATGGAGTAATAATCCCCAGATAAAGGTTGTGTGGTAATTTGAATGGAGAAACTCAGGCTCTGAGGGATGGTTCATGGCCAGAGGGATGATGTGCTCATTAGATGCTGTGCTGGAATCCGTGGTATTACACTATGCAGTTTAGTTTTAGCAAATCACCTTCCCTTATATTAGTCCATTCTTTCCCATTTTGAATGATACATGTTGGTGGCTTTGTTTAGATTTAATTTTAAATTTTGGTTTGGTTTTATCATTTGATGGAAGTGATCATTTTACTCAGATTTGTGTTGGTACCTAACTAGCAGTGCTGGTAAAAAGATAATTTGTGTCAATAGCAGGGATTTGGAAAAGCATCGTTACTTTAAAGGAGGTTGGCATATTACTTACTATTGGCAAATATTGTTCTGACTTATCTCACTCTGCTGTGATCACTGTTTAACTAGTTCATTTCTTCCATTAGCCTGCAAGCTCCTGGAAGACATGTTTACACTCTATTTGACTTTGAACTACTTTTGTGTTTATTAAATAAATGAGTTGATTGATACAAATTAGAATTGTCTGACTCATAAAGACTAAATTTAATGGTAGTGAGTTCTCTGTCAAGGGAAGCATGTAAGTACAGGCTATTACATATTGTTAAATATTCCATGGTCAGGTGAGGTTTAATCTGAGTGCCCATCAGATTTTGGGCACTTTGAATTTTGGAATAGAGAAATTATCAAAATTGTTACTTTTGCCACTGACTTTCTGGCAATTGCATTTGAGCTTAGCAGGTCTAGCTCAGTGGATAGTGTCGACTGGGTCCTGGGTTTGATTCCCGTCAAGGCATATGCCGGGGTTTCAGACTCAATACTCAGTAGGGGCTATGCTGGAGGCAGCCAGTTGATTATTCTTTCTCATCCTTGATATTTTTATCCCTCTCTTTCCCTCTCCCTTCCTCTCTGATACCAATAAAAAATTTTTTTAAAAAGAATGATTGCATTTTAGGTCATTATCCCCCAAATAAATTGCCTGAATGTTATTATCACAGCACTGCAGTAATATGATGGGTTATTTCATTTCCTCAGATGAATTCCAAATTGACCCCTACGACTTTAATAGATCTTGAGTGTCCCCCTCACAAAGATGTTAGATTCTAAGAGATCTTTGGGAATGGCTTCCTAGAGTCCCTTCCCTCTCAGGATACATGTGGATGTGGAAGTCTACACACATCATGAGAGATGGCTGCGTGAACGGATAGGGCTGAAGCAAACGTCCAGAGGAGCCACTTTTGTCCAGAGGAAGCAGACTTTTAGAGTGTCCAGAGGGTGGAAATGTACGGACAGCAGCCAGCCATATCTCTCCATCAGTTTTTTTCCCCCCTTTCTTCCCCCCATTCCCCTCTCAGCAGTTTAATGTGAGTGCTTCTCTCCCGCTTCGTTTGTTTCAGATGCCTCAGGAACAGTACACACACCACCGGAGCACCATGCCCAGCTCCGAGGGGCCACAGGTGTACAAAGTGGGGATTTACGGCTGGCGGAAAAGATGCCTGTATTTCTTTGTCCTGCTGCTGATGATTTTAATACTGGTCAACTTGGCCATGACCATCTGGATTCTCAAAGTCATGAACTTCACAATTGTAAGTAAAACCATTCCTTACCTCTCCTTGTGGGGAAGGGACCTGTGGGGCAAGGAGGAGCATAGAAAAGCAGCAATCGTAGGATTCAAAATGATCGGCAACCTGGTGTCTTGGTTTAAAAAAACATTGTTCAAATGACAAGGGAGGATGGACTTCTGTCTCCTGACAGTTCCTTGGGGGCAGGTTATCTAATTTAGAGGCATCATCTTCTGTACGACCCTCTGTATTTGCTCGCTCATTCTGATAACTATTCTGTTTCCTGTAGTTTACAGGCACTTTGAGAAAATGATGCAGGAGGAAATATGGGATAAATTCAAAGGGTTAAGTTTTCCCTAATTTTAGTAATGCTTATGAAAGGATTTGTGAGGTAGAGGGTTGGAACATCGGGAGGAAATTAGATTTTGGGGATTATCTAAGAATTTTAAGAGTTTGTATGTGGTAGCCCATTACTATGATTAATCAGGAGTCCCTTGATTTTTTTGGGAGGGCATTTTCTTTGCCACCACCGGATCAGAGGAAATAAGAAGAACAGAGCCATGTTTCATTTTTTAAGAACTTAATGTTTATGCAGCTTTGAAGGAAATTTGCTGTTGGTACTTAGAGCCACTCTACTGATTGAATATTTACTGGTTGAAGTTCAAATTAAAAGAAAGTCTTGGCAAAATTATTTCTGAAGTTATTATAAGGTAATAATAACTTCAGAAATAATAAATAACTTCAGTGAGGTTTTTTTTTTTTGTGTGTGTGTGTGTTGTGTTTTTCCTAGAGATTTCCTGGCCATTCTAGCAAGCTAAGTAATGTATTAGTGAGAGCGTAGAGGGTACCAATCAACTGTTATTAGAGTTCTTTCTTGTGATGTCAAAAGTCTAATTAGATTGACAAAAAAAAAATCTTGTTTGATAAAGCAATGAGCAGTCAGGTTTTCATGTGACATTCCCAAATAGGAGAGTGGATAAAGGCCTTTTCTGATTGATCAAAGTTCTTTTTATCCTTAACATGTTATGAATGGCCGCACTCCCTGGCCTGGGCAGTAACTTCTGCTTAAGCTGCTTTTCCTGTCCTCCCTGCCTCACAAAACCTTTCCTCCTCAGCTCCTTTTCTGCATCTGTTATTATACTTATCGCTCTGGATAATAATTTTTGCATGTGTTTCCCAGGCAGAGAGAACTTTGAGAAGAGCAAGGGCTGCATTTTTCTCTGAGTGCCTTTATTCATCACTAATGGAAGAGTTACATGGTGCTTAATTAGGACTTAATTAGGACCCCATAAACCGAGGTCAGAGACACTGATTCAGGCCTCAGAATGGTTCACTCTAGTGCTGGTCGTTAAAACTAGGAAACTATCTGATAAAAAGAATTACCTTGATTTTACACATTTCTTTCTTGAGAAGAAAAAAAATAGTTCAATTTATTGAAAAACAGAGAAAGACTTTGGTATTACAACTTGAAATTTGGAAGAGGATACGGGTCAGTGTCCATGGGATTGTAGGGGTTCAAGGTAATCTGCACTGGACTAGGGGAGCACATTAGCTTCTGTTTCTGAATCAGATGCGGTAGACACTTTTTGAACTTGGACTTTCTTTATAGTCAAAGAGAATTCAGAGAAGGGTTTTTATCAGACGAGAGAGATGCCATCAGATTTGTGGTCTACATGCTTGTTCAGGAGAAGATGCAATATAATGGGGAAATTTTCTCAGAGTTTAGGGCTCTGAAGACCAAATCCTGGGTCCACGTGTTCTTAAGTCTTTGTGCCCATAATTGCCAGTTGTTGATGTTCATGTTCTGTGGTGTTTTTATTTTGAGGTTTACAAACTTGTAAAATGGAAAAGCTTCTCAATTACCATATTAAATAAGGGAAGCCTAAAGGCCGGATAGGAGAATGGACAATAAAAATTCAAAAGACATTTAAAGAGATGATGTTGACACATCTGACCATTTACTGGTTGAAGGTAGGAGCTGAGGTATTAGAAGACATTCTGGAATTCTCCCAGGTTGTAGCTGGCGAGATGGTTGGGTCATGGGACCCCCCCCAAAAAAAAAAAACAAAAAAAAACAAAACAGAATATTAGAATGCCTTACCTTCCCATTAGAGCTGCGCTGAAACTCCTGTATGCCCTGAACTCCCTATTTGAGGCTATTTTTGTTATTTTTATCTAGCTTGGCATGAAGTTAATTTATAGAACCTGAAAGACTTAGGAGTGAGTGTGATGAATATGAACTCAAACGCTGATAAATGTGATATTATACTAATGTGGCTCCTGAAGTGCATTTAATCTGGCCAGCCTAATAATGAGAGATCCATGTAAATGTAAATTGAGTGACAATTCATTCTGAGAGTGTGTGAACTTAGGGAGTAATATGACATTAAAGTAATAATCTATATGAAATAGGCTATTTCCCATAGTTAAGGAAATTGATTGCCAAAGTTGAGAGTTCTCAGAGCTTTACCAAACCAAGTACTTACTGGGGTGAGAATGATGCCTTTATTAGCCATAATTGGTGCTTTATAACAGTAATGCATTTGTGCAAATAGAGCTGAATTGTCAGAAAATTGATCTTTCCCTGAAACTTCAGAGCGTATGTTCCCATCCATCACAGTGTAAAGCATATCCTTTTAGAGTTATAGTTCTATTTCACAAATAATCATTTCCTGACCACGAAGATCTTAAAAATGAAGGAGGTATTAACCAGTGTTACATTGGAGCATGTGGGGTTGAGAGAGCAAAGGAAAACAATGAGATGATAGTTTTCGGCAGGGACTTAAAAATATTGCCAATAGGAAAGAGTGATCATTCTGTACATCTGGAGTATTCAATAGTTTGGGACTTGGGAAGGCTCACTCTATAGTCAAACCCTCTGAGTAACAATAAACCAAGAGAATGATGTCATCTGACTGTATTTGTGAGGACTTGGCAATGTACCCAAAATTGGATATCCAGAATGTTCTGTCGTCTGGCTTGCATTCCATACTATCCCCAAGGATGTATGCTTTTGTTATAATCGTTTGGACAAATATCCAACTAAGTTTTATTTGTCCCAGCTGTAAGTCTGAAGAAAAATGAGGTTGTCCTCCTCTGCTCTAACAGGATATTGTGGTGTTCCTTTCGAGGCAGGAGAACAAGGTTACACTCTTCTGCTCAGTTTTCCCCCATGTGGGGGAGTGTGCGGTTTACTTATATTGTAAACACCTATAAATCAGTCCATCCTAGTTCATCACAATCTGTGCTGTACAGAGAAACTAATATTTATTATATGTCTGTTCTGTGCTGGTCACTGTGCTTGGTATTTAAAATATCCCATATAAATGTCAAAACAACTCTAAGATTAGCGATTATTATCTCCATGGTAATAAAAGGAAACACAGGGCTCAGAGAAGTGGTTGACTTCCTGGAAGATACATAGCGAGTAAGTAAAAGAACTGTGCTTGGCTTATTAGCCCAAGCCTTCCCACCACGCTGTACCCCTCTCCCTAATTGCCACAATGGTCTGGCTCCTCAACTAAACTCTGAAGCTGCCCAAATCGTCCATTGTCTTTATTGCCCACCTGTGTCATCCAATCACAAATGTCTTTCCACCTGAGGAATCCACAGACATGTTCTGCCTCGAGTAGTTTCCTGGTGGTTCTGAATGTCCAGTCCTTCTCTCACTGCTCCTTGCCCCAGAACTGATGATTTCTGTCTTTCCACTGTCTCCACCTTCTGTTTTATCATCTTGTTCTGTTAACGTGATCATTTAATATAAACTTAATATTAATATCTGGGTCTTAGGTTGGTGTGATAACTGTCAGCTAATTCCTGATAAGCATTTATAGCAGCCTCTGATGCAGAGGAAGACTCAAAAGTTGTCAACAGAAAGTCATGAGCCAGCCTATACCATAGCGTAGTGGTCAAGGGCTCAGACTCTGGAGACAGATGTTCTAGCTACAAACTTGCTTTCTGCCACTTTGGCAAGTTTCTCAACCTCTCTGCGCTGCAATCTCCTGGGAGTAATAGCAATACCTACCTATTCATAGGATGGATGTAAAATGTAAATGAGGTATTGAGTGCAAAGTGCTTGAAATGGAGCTTGGCACATAGAGGTGCTTTCTGTGAAGTATTTGCTACCATCATCGTCATCAGTTATTGAAGGCTCATTTTGTGTCAGGCACTATGCTATTGCAATTAATAAGCATTATCAAACCTAATTCTTATGCAGATAGGCACTGTTATGATACCAACTTCACAAGGCAGGAGAGAGGCTCAGTGACTTGATTTGAAATCTCACAGCTCTAACATGGTACAGTAGAGATTTGAAGCTCAGCAGTATTCCTACTGTCTGTTAGCCAGTTGGATACATTGTGGGTAGTGCAGAATGCCCTAGCATGAGTGTCAGGGAACCGGATGCTGAGGCAGCCATGAACCACTTCACCTTGTTCGCTGGGGCTCAGTATAGAAATGAGTGTGTTGACCTAGGTGCCCTTTAAGACTAGAAGGCATCTTCCTGTTAGAACACTCTGGTTTAGTCTTGGGGCTCTGCCTTGATGGAGTGAGAGCTCACTCTGTGAAGGGCTTCTGCTTTTGCCAATACATTCTGGCAGCCCAGTCCAAAGAACTTGACCTCAAAGACCTCCCCAAATACTATAGTATTGATCATCCATATCATTTAGTACAAGTGGTTAATAAGTGGCAAAACTTGAAAGGCGTGGGAACTATCAAGAGTTGGCCTGATCTTTTAGCCCAGTGGGTGTGAAATCATTTGTTGTAGATGAAATTGGAACCTGAGCAGTCACCTCATTAGAAATCCTCATTTTGCCCAGGATGGAAGTAAAGTAGATATTATAGATAGAAAGGTTGCCTGTCCTGGTGTCAGCACCTCAGCAATCCTAGGAACTTCTCAGGAGCAGGCATTGTGTTTTCTTCACTTTGTAGCCCCAACCTAGTGCCTGGTATTCAGGTGGCTTTCCGTGTATGTGTCAGTTGCCTTTGTGCAGACCACACACATCAAATAATAGATATCAAGTATC